AGCAGTTCTGGGTCACACATTTTGAGGACGACAGGGAGAATGCAGTCGAGTCCGAGCGACTTGTGAGGGTCCAATGGTAAGAGAATCTAACGTACCTTTCTGATGGAAATCAGTGATGTGAAAAGGTAGCTTGTTGTAGGTGATTCGAGGGTTGAGTGGATGACTCCAGTAGGGTAGAACTGAAAGCAAATTATGAAGATTTTTTTCAATAAGGTTGGAAATTAAGTTGTTGTGCAGTTGCTAAGTGTGTGTAAAATAATTGGCGGGAAGCCAAGTTCTATTTCTGAATAGTGTGAGAACAGGTGCGTATAAACCAAATGCTTTAGGGGAAACAGGTTTGCCGGGTTTTTCGAAATGCAAAATGAAAAGCTTTGCAAAGTTTAGAAAAATCCGGAGAGGAGAAAGCGGCGGAGAAAAAACAGTCATTCCACGGATGAGATGTCAGAAATTAACACCAATCACCGTAACCGTGTCACCAGAGTTTGCTTCTGGAACTGGGGGTAGGATTGAGAAAGGTGAATTGTGCAGAGAATGAAATAAGACAGTGGTTTGAAGAACTCAGTGGAGGATATACATAATCACGTCGAAAAGTAACTTCAGGTTAGATGTGGGAACATAACCAAGAGTATAAACATCGAATAAGAGCACATGTATTTTCGTTGAATTGATATGAACATGACCTCCAGCAAGGTTGGGGATACAAGTTGGATAATCAAACAGTTGGTGAAGATTGTTCAATAGGATAAGTGAGTCTGCTTCACGTCCAAAGGGCTGTGTCTTAGTGGAGTGTAGCAGCCATTCCCTGTTATGAACGTTAAAATCACTCAGAAGTGTGAACTGAGCTTCAAGGTTTACTTCAAAGAAGTAAAATATCGAAAGGTAAAGACTCACCTGTATTTTGGTGAACGGTGTTCAGTGTAGAAATAGTGCTAAAAGAAAGGAACGGAAATTTCATCCACAGAGTCTGGATCTTGCGGTTGGTGAGATTAAATTGGGAGAATGAGATAAGAGCAATTAAATGATGGATAAATGCACAAACATCAGCTTCAGGGTAACTGAGATGTTGAGAGAATAATTGAGAAACTGAAGAAATGGGTGGTGCTGTAATATAAGAAGGTCCGGTTTAGGTTCAAAATAGAGCAAGAGGGGAATGGACTGGAGAAATTCATATACGGAATCAATACTGGAATTCAACTCGCGAAAATCAGTGAGTAAGGTTGTCAAACGAGAGTGCGTTTGAGGAGTAATTCTGTTTGTTGATATGATGCAGGTAATCGGCAACCTGGTTCTGGGACATGGTACTGACTCAGACGACGGTAGAACTATCCAACACTCACCTCCGGCTATATATGAAAATAATAACAAAATTTGATTGGTTGCTGCCCATTATGGTGTACAAAAACATGCAAAAGCTTCTCCGTTGATAAACTAATTAGAAGTGGTTCTGGTGCCTCCAGTTTGTTCGGATTCATTGTTGTCTGTTTACCGATCCAGAGGTTCACTGTGTCGTTTCATTCACTATCGTACATTAAACCTTTCTTGGCTATAGGTTTCATTGTCTCAGCTGTTCCCATCTCAGTTCACGGATAAACTAACGCAGACAAAGCTTTCTTGTGCGTGCTGTATAACTGTTTGTGCCGCTTTTTAGAATTATACTGTTAGCACACCCTTTTGTTGCGTCATTGAATTATGTCTCACAGTGGAAGTCGCCACTGGTCCAATTGAACGAGTCTTTTCTTATATCGTTCTATAAAGACCGAAACTGAAAAACGTTTTTCGTCCTGTTTTAAACGGGCTTGGTTAAATATGTAACCTTATTGATCTTTCCGGAGCGAGACAAGTGAAAATCGGCCATGCCTTTGGACTACCAACTGGCTCTCACGAATCCACGTTGACAAGTTATTTTCTGACTGTACGACACAGCCTTTCGGTCAATCATTTCACTCTACTCGATAGATGAAATTCCCACTATCTTATTGTGCAGCAAAAGTCTGATCCAATGAAAGCACGAGTGGAGGAAAATAAGAGGGTCGTACTTCTCCAT